ATCCTTGCCCGTAGTAATGTCGCAACAAATTTTAAAATTAAATTTGCTATGTCAGGAAAATCTAAAAATCCAACAGCTTTCTAGAATGTATCTAAAAAATACTCTTTCAGTCAGATATTTTAACCTAAAAAGTGCTTGGATGATTTTACTCGAAAAGGCTAATACTGCGCAGAACGAGAAAGATACAGAAAAGTAATGAAGATGAAGTAGTGACGACAAAAATGAAGAACAGAATTTTTCACACCGAAGGTCATAAAGTCCATGAGATAACATTAAAATACATAGAGCAGCTTAAGGAAACTTCATTAGCGAAAGTTGATGCAGTTGGGCTGCAGAGGCTGCGAGGTCTACAGAGGGGTATTTACATATTATTAGAACGATTTAGGGGCCGTTCAATTAATATTTAAAATGTAAAGAGTATGTTTTAAATGCTCTGTCAGACAGCCTTCTTCTGGACTTATAAGCCTGCATCGTGAGTTCCACGATAGAAGGGTTTTCGAAAATTTCCAGCGACAATGTTTCTTCCAGTATTTTCTAGAGTCCGTTAATCGCAGTGGGTTTGCGCTTAGAGAGAGCTCTTTTTTGCAGTCATTTAGGTAAATCCATGCTTTATCGAATGTCACAATGTATTTCCATTTATCTCCTGCTAAATTGTTTTCATACAGGGTTCTGCAAACTGTTCTACGTTGAGCTACAAGCCTTTGTAACGCTGGTGAATATTATACTTTTTTGCTGTGTCAAGTGGTAAATCTCAGTTTATTATTTTATTTATTGCTGCTACAGATGCTCTTAAAGACTTTAAAATTGATTCCTGCTCCGCCCGATTTTCTCTTGTTACCAATGATTAAAATTTAGAACATTAGAAATAGCGCATATCTTTTACGGGTATTCGTTTGGAGTCTTCTTCTCATGTAGAAAAGATCTGATGTATACACCACATGGCTTCCTTGCACGGAATATTAAATTATACGCATCGCATTTTTTCCTGCATTAAATTTATTGAAATGAATTAAATTTACTTCGTCGATAGTGCATAAACCACAACAGAATAAATGCACTCTTTAATATTCACTATATTTATTTAACATAGCGACACTCTGGCGCTAGGTTCACTTGACAAAGTTACACCATTCATTTTATAACTCAGAATGCGAAAAAATTATATCACCTGAAGAATTATCTAATCGTTGCCACATGTTCTTTTCAAATACTATGATGATAAATCTAAAATGATGTATGAAAGAAATTAGACAAATATAAAAAAGAAACAGTTGTTGCGAAGCTTAGTTTCTTTTAGATTGCCAACAAATCCACTATTCTGCTAAGTTTCAAATGTAAACTAATATAGCTGCTACGGTTAAAAAAAAGGCTTAGCCGCACTTAAACAACTTTAAAATTGTTGATAATTCTAAAAATATTGCATGTAGGTTAACTAAAGGCATTAAAACCTTAATCAGGAGATAAGAACAACATAATTCAATCATTTTTAAAAGCAAAAAATGCACAGTTTACCAACATATAAGAATAAAAAAAATCTGATGTGTACACCACATGTCTTCCTTGTACGTAATATTATATTATACGCAATTTCCCTGCATTTCATTTAAACATATTGAAGTTAACGAATTTTGAATTAAATCTACTTCGTCGATAGTGCATAAACCACAATAGAATAAATGCAAGCTTTCAAGTTCACTATATTTATTTACCCTAGCGACACTTTGGCGATAGGTTCACTTAACAGCAATACATCTCATTCATTTTATAACTCAGAGCGCACAAAAATTATATCATCTGAAGAATCACCACAAATTCTATTCAAATACTATAATAAATCTAAAACAATGTATAAAAGAAATTAAACAAATAAAAAAGAAACAGTTTTTCGCAGATGATCCAGTGCCGCTTACCTAATGCGCAAATTCAAAATATTTTGATTAAAATTTGAAAGATATAAAAAAACATAAAACACCAAATACAGTTAAAAAAAATTACAATTAAAATTACAGTTTCTACGCAAAAAAAGATAATAATTTAAATGATAATTCCAGAATCAATTAAGCATAATTTAATTCGCAATAATAAAAGATGACGTTACTTTGTTGTTGTGAAGCCTAGTTTCTCTAGATTGGCAATAAATCACTATTCTACTAAGTTTCAAATATAAACAAACATGGCTGCCATGGTAACCAAAAATTAGGTTTAGCCGCACTTAGAAAACTATTAAATTGTTGATAATTCCACAATTATGGCATGCAGGTTAACTAAAGACATAAAAATCTTAACCAGAACAACATAATTCAATCATTGTTAAAGCAAAAAATGCACAATTTACAGACATATAAAAATAAAGAAATTGAGATCACTGAGCCGAATAACAGACTGGATATATATATATATATATACTTTTGGTGGATACTTAGAAATTATCAACGTTCTGAGGCCACGCGTTTTTCAGTTATGCGAGATAAGTACGTACAGACGCCACGAATATTCTCTTCAGAATTCACTTTAAATCAGTTTTATAATTTTTTGGGGGAAAAAGAGTACTTTATTCTGTCCTTACGTACAGATGCCACGCAAAAACATCGTTAAATTGCATTCGATGGCGGTAAAAATGGATATTTTCTTTGAATTACAATAACCGAAATTTTTCGTATTACAATACTTCCTTTTGAATTCGTACAAGAAAGTAAAAAACTGAGCTAACGGAGCCGAGTAACAGAGTTGGTATATGTATAATATATATATTTATTTCATTTTTGATGCGGCCGATTGCCATCAAAAAGGGAGGTGCACAACTACATTCTATAGCTGTCCTATATACAAAATTTCAACGTTCTGAGGCTACTCGTTTTTGAGTTATGCGAGATACATACATATATACACACGTACGTACATACAGACGCCAAGAAAAAAATCTCTTGTAAATCCATTTTAAATCAGTTTTATAATTTTTTTTTTGGGGGGGAGGGGAAAAGTTCTTTATTTTGTCCACATATACAAATGTCACGCAAAAACATTGTTAAATTGCATTCGAATGTTTTCGCTGAAATGGTACCTGGAATATTTCGTGATTACAATACTTCCTTTACTTCGTACGAGGAAGTAAGTAATAATGACTGACGGTTTTCCCTTTCCGATTAATAGTGTTACTTATTTTGCACTTACAAAATTTTACACCATGCATTTCACAATATTTTTTAATTATGGAATAGGAATACTTCTCTTTGGAAAGCAAAGAAACATATCCTTCAAGCCATAGCTTGTTTACATGCGACATTTTGAAAGAAGAATAAATTTAGAAGAAGCAAATGATGCTTCTAATTTTAAACAATAAGCTGTTGCAAGAAATTTTTATTCCAAAACACATGCTGTTTAATTTTTTTTTTTTTTTTTTTTTTTTTTTTTTTATGAATTTGTTCTAAATACGTGTAAACACAAAATGGAACTACGAGAAAACGTCACCTTTTTCAATTAAGTTTGACTGTTATTTGTGGTGTATATATATATATATAATAAATTTGTAGTTTATTCAAATTACTAGTTTGTAGGTTTTGAAATAAAGAATGTATTTTGTCACTTTTAAACGTCGTATCAATTAACACCTTCGCGCCGGGTAGCGCAAACGCACGCTTGTCGCGGAGGCCGGCAGTGTCTTATTACGCGAACGTCTGTCCATTACCGGGGGCTTTTTTTGCTATTATGCCTAAATCCATGAAATTTCCGATTTATTGTTTAATAATGCTCTATAGAGTATTTAAACGGCTTATGCTTTATAGATATTTTTATATATACTTTAATTACCTTATTTCTTGTTTAAATGCATATTTTACACATTTTATTTTCATTACTTACCATTTTATGACTTTTAACATTATACATCTGAAAACTAAATATATTACTTAAAATTATCTCTTTTCGTATGAAAAATTTGAAAACACACAATCTTACGTTACATTCCTTGCACTCGTAATAACGACATTGATGATGAGGACATTAATTAATTAAGGATTTCCGAAATGTCCTCATCATCATTAGATTCGCCAGATTCTTTATGATCAGAATATATCATAGTATCACTATCACTACTATCAGAATCTGTTTCAGAATCAATATCTGAAATATTTTGCATCATTTCTGCTATTTCATGCTCTGTTAAACATTTTCGACGCTTCGACATTGCAACGGTAAAAAGAGAAAGAATTCATGCCTAACAAGATCTAATTATTTTCTAAAAATGAACTGCAAACCGAAATACCCAACGCTTTAGCGAAAAATAAAACTTCTCTATTTACAATAAACAACTACCACGTGCGAATTTAAAGAGACGTCATAAATCACGCCATTCGGAAACATTTATTTCCCCTTTTGTTCGTATAATCAAAAACACGTGTATGTGAGTCATGCTTCTCTCATTTCGAGTAGAAGGTCTAATGTACATGTATCTGAAACCATATGGGTATACAGTGCCATCTTGTGGCAGAAATTATAGTTTTTAAAACGTTCCAGGACACTGGCACAAATACGTGACAGACGGGGCTCAACGGGAAAATGCTCTGGCACGCCTGCGTGTCGGCCGGGAAGTGAGTGTGTTCGTTGCTGGCACGTTGACGTGACAGTCGGCGAGAAGGGGTTTTAAACCTTCATCCGACCCTGCCACGGCCAGTAAGACTGAATAATCGGAACTTTAAGTATAATATTTCAAATACTCCCTGCAATCATATACAAATGGTTTAAAAGTTTACATTGTATTATTGTACTACTGTCATTGACATATTTCAGCACTAAAATATGTCAGCAATTAAATTTTAGGTAACCCACACAGTGTGAATCCTATTTCCCAGTACAAATTATGTATATAATATATGCTAATAAAGTACTTCTATAACATCGTCATGAAATTTTGTGAATGCTAATGGCTAATGATTGTATGCCTTCTTTTCAATCCAGAGTTAAGGAAATTTATTATTTTGAATGAAAAACAAAATAATAGTTACCCATAGCGTCCGTCATTGATAGTACTGAGGAGTTCTGATCTCACCAAACAGATATTCTGCTCGCATACGAAATCCAGTATTTCGTTTTCTTTTAGCTGGCACGTGCTGCAAAATGCAGATAAAATGAATGATATCAATTACATTAAAAACATAAATAGTTTAATCATACTACAGCAGTTCATTTTGGTTATACCTGCTGTCATATCAACACATATAACACTTTGAAAAACTTAATTTAATAAAGCTTAAGCTTTGTGTAAGGCATAATAATAAATATGCATCGCTAAAAAGGCCAAAGAAAACTTTCCCCTCCCAAAAAGATATCTAAATTTAACTCATCCTTTATTTAAGCACTGGTATACATGCAATTAGATAACATGAAAGGTAATTTAGGTAAAATATTTCACAATTAATAAGCATTACATGCAAGCTTACTGGTAAAAAACACAAGAATAACCCAGAATAATAAATAATAATTATAATTACTTGCTCCAGAAGATGAGAAAAATCTGCTCGTCATATTTAATTCAAACAATGTGGAATTATTAAAATGCTTAAAACTTACACGCTTGCGATTATTGCATCTTTAATATTTCGTAATTATATAACTGTTAATTTTATATTAATTTCTGATCTACGTAGAATAATTTAACTAAATGGTGCATCTTCAATAGAACTTTTTTAAAATGAATAATTAAAGTATACAAATGTGAAATAATTATGCTATTTGCCTACTTATTATGCTTAAAGTTTTTGTGATGGATTTTAATTAATTATTCAGGTTTATAACAGCATTTTAAGAGCTTTCTTTAACAAATTTTAGGGCTGTTTTGTCTGTCTTTTTTGTTAGGGTTTAGGGCTTTAACATCAGGTCTTTAATAATTACATAGTATATAACACAGCTAAGCTGGAAGACAAAAAGTAAAGAATTTCTAAAAAATCAGCAAAAGATATTGCAGAAATTGCATGAAAAAAATAACAGATCTGAAAGGGAACTGGAAAATGGTTTTCAAGAAACTTCCGGTGTTACAGGTTGTGGAGGAAAGGTTCATTTACGAAAATATTAAAAATAAAAAAGTGACTTTCGTCAGAAAATTTATAAGGTATTTCTCCCGCCTTCTTAGCATGCCTTCGTATTGTAGTGGTGTGCACGCTGGGCGCGTATTCCAGAGGTCCGTGGTTCGATTCCAGGTGAAGGCGTTGCTAATTTCTCATGACTCCTGCTTCAAAAAAAATGTTTAATGTCTCTACAAAGTCTCAAAAGTCTTTTGTTTATGTAAATATATTTTCGGAAAGCCTGCTTAATCTAAAAGACTTGAAATTTTTATGACTAGGAATATAATGCATTTTCAGTAGACAGCTTTTGTAGATATCTAGTACAAATTCAGTAGATATCTAAATACAAATAAATGATAAAGTGAAGCTCTCAAAAATTAGAATTTTTTAAAAATGATAATTTGTGAAATTTAGGTTAAGTAATCCACTTCCTTATTATTTAAAGTATGCTACCATTTTTCATTAGCTGTCACCAGGATGTAAATTAGATACTGCATAGGTGTGCACAAGATAAAGTTTACTTAAAGAGAAAGCTTTGGCAGCAACGCTGGCTGTTATGCCAATTCTTCGCCTGGCTCTGAGAAGTACAATGTGTTTTAAAAAAGAATGACCCGATTTCAAAAATTCATAATTATTAAGATTTTAACCCGTTTTGCTAGTATAATACGTCGGTAGAAAAGGAAAAATCTCAAGTTTCACGCATTTGACAAGAGGTAGCGTTAACGCTCTTCTTTGCCCATCACTTCAGCGTTTGTGAAAGTGGCGACGTATTTTGTGTTCTACGCTTCGCGAAGTATGAGTCCGTAACAATTGTTCAGAGTGATCTAAGTCGCGAATACCCTGGTGTTGAACCTCCTGTTACGAAAAGCATTAGAAGATAGTATTAACAATTAAAACACACTGATTGTTTGTGTAAAGGAAAATCACCTGGCCATCCCCGCATATCAGATGAAAATGTGGAGAACGCCCCAGAGTTTCACACGTAGACTCTGGCGTGCTAAACAAATCTACTTTCCGTGTTGGTAAGGAACTTAACATTCCTTCAACATATTTCAGGCCTATTTTGGGTTGCAAGATTCAAAGATCTTCACACAGGTAACAAGAAAAAAAAAAGTTTTGGAGTTTTGTGAATTCATTGTTAAGAACTTGTTAGAAGATGACAATTTTGTAACACGCTTGGTGCTTAGTGACGAGTCAGTGGCACAGTAAACCGCCACGATGTTAGAATATAGAATATTGTACAGTATGAGAAAGACTGGTCCAAAGTTAATGTTTTTTGTGCAGTTTCTAGCAAAAGGTATATGGCCCCTTTTTTTCATAGAGACGACTGTTACAAGAATTACATAGCTGGATATACTTAAAAACTGGCTTTTTTACAGTTAGAAACCGCTTGACAGTTTAAATGACTTCATTTTCCAGTAAGACGGAGCAACACCACACAAGAGCTCGAACGTTTGCCATTTTTTTAAACAACTGCATTCCCCACTGATGGTTCGGCTGTGATGGAACGGACCAATTCAGCTAAACATCACTAGTCTCCGAGATCGCCGGTCTTCACAGTGTGCGATTTCTTACAGGGTTTTTGTAAATGACCGCGTTTATGTGCTTCTCATTCCAGCTACATCAGCCGAACTGAAAACACGCATAAAAGCAGCCGTGGAAGTAATCGATGCAGACATGCTTGCAAAAGTTTGGGACGAATATGCCTACCTTGTAGACATATGCCGTGCATCCAAAGGTTGACACATTCAGCACCTTTAAATTAGTATGTAAAAATACTTTATTATTATCCATGTAATATGAAATTAATCTGAAGTGTCTATGCACAATATTTTTCATACAGGGTTCGTACACATTTCTGCACATGGAAGTTACGTACTTTTATGGACCATTAGTGAAAAAAATTAAGGACCTATCAGCAAATGGGAGCTGAATGAATTCAATTAAAATTCAATCAACTTATATCTGTACTCCGTTTTTATAATAACCCTCTAAGAATAAAATAGATTCGTAAATAGGATGCATTCATATTAAACATAATTTAATAAACATAACTAGAAAATAAATTTGAGAATAAAATCCCCTTTATAAAATCTATCAGGTAGCATTAAATATTTTACATGTATAATATTTGGACATATTTTCAAAGAAGATTAGGGACATTTTATTTACGTTTTACTAACAGTAAGCTTTATGTTGATTCTTTTATTTTATGGCTCCTTTTGCCACGTACTTAGTCTAGAGGTTTAGTAAATAGCAAGTAATTTTATGTCAAATGGCATAGGTTAAAATGAGAAATAAAATCATAATCAGCATGATTCTTAGCAGAAGATTGGCTGTTGCCAGTGCTGCTGCTGCCTAGAGAGACAATTGTTGATCAGAACAAGCCTGAAAGCCTGATGTAGTTTTGAGGTTGGCAGGTTTTGAAAGTTAGTTGTGCTCCATCTGTCTGAAGCAGTTAGTGTTATAGATTCATATAGAGTTCCTAGGACTGTAACGTGGTTAATATATTTTAAGGTTCCAATAAGCCACTAATGCACCACAGGTGATAAGTTGTGTTGTATTATTTTAAGTCTCACTAGATGCAAAGAATAAGTTTTACATTAATTTTTACATTTTTGTGCTGTATCTTGTGACAGTAAGGATTAATGAAAGGCAATAACTTGTTTTAATATGCAGAGATAAGTTTTAAAGGTGAGCGGTTAGTTACAAATAATTAAATCAGGTAGTTAAATACGCTTAATTGTTATAGACTTACATGACCACTATTAAGTTTTATTTATTTTTTAAAAAGAATTGTTCAAAAAGCATTATTAAAATCACAACATTTCAGTTTAAAATGCATGTAATTTTAAATTGTCAGTTTTAAATCAATATCACAACACTGATTCTTAAATGGTATTAGGGTAATTCCACATTAAAAGCTATAAAACATTGTTTTGTAGAGATCATTGTCATTTGCATTGTGTGTTTGAGATTGTTGTGATTTGCATTATGGTGAGGAACCCGAAAGGGAAACTTATTGTAAAGGCTAAAATTATAAAACACTGGTTAATTTGCATAATAACTGTACATATCATAGAAGAATAATTTTCTTCCTCTTTATGTATTCAGTTTCTTTCTTCAATTCATTTCCTCTTCACTTTAGAATTTTTGGATTTAATAAAGATTTCTGTTATTTAAAAAAACCAAATGCATTTAGAATATAAAAAAAGCTGATAAATATGAAATGATGTAAGGGCTGATTTCAGGGCCTATCAGGAAGAATTTTTAGAATTTAGTGACACACCGAAGCAACAAAATATAGAAATGGCAAAACTTTTAGAATTTAGGACAGGCAGTGGGAGCAGAATTTAGGATCCACAGAGATTGCATCAGGTGGGAAATTGCCTTGCGTCAGCCCTGTGTATGATTCATCGAGATATATAAGGTGAATCTTTTAAATTGTCAGTTTTAAATTTCTTTATTAATAGAAAAATTCTTTTTTATAAATGCCTGTCCATGCGAATTGATTAGAAACATTTTTTATATTTTCCATACTTGTGTCTAGTGAAAAGTTGGAAAAATAAAGGGAAGATAAACATGTTAAGGATAAGACTTCTAGTATCAGAAGTTCAATATTCAAACATTATGTTTTCATTGTCCTTCCAAAAATTCCCCAAAATGTAAGATATTCAACACAAACTTTCTGTAAAATACCTCCATTATGCGTTAATACAATGAAGACATTTTCATTTTGTCAATTTTTTCTGGAGCCTTCTAGAATTGTGGTTCTATAAATTTTGCCTTCAAATCCTTCTGAACTTTCCAAGTTGCAACGTTTAAAATCCTAAAGAAAAATTAGCCCTACCCATTCTGCAAGAGAAAAAGGGCTAGAATTATTTTGAAAAAAAAAAAAAAAAAAAAAAAAGTGGAAAAAGTGGAAAATTGATTTCATAGATAAAACTGATACATATTCTGACAATTCTGAATATTCTGAGACAATTACATGGGAAAAATTCTTACCATGAAAAAATTAAAAGGAAGAAATTTTTAATTAATTACATAGC